AATGATTTACTATCTAGTCCATCACCACTTACTACCAGGTGGGATTGTACATAGGATTGTAGTCAAGCGCTGGCTTATAATAAGCAAAAATAGCCCTTCACTTATTGATCTACGAAATTGTTTATTGCAGTTGATTTCGCAAATAATGAATTTGGCAAAAGTTGAACTTACTGGTGGGAGAGCCACGTTTCAGCGTATTTTGGTTAACCGAGAAAGGGGTACGCTCACGCAGATTACCAGCTGTATTCTAGTCGTAGTATTGGCATCGGTTGGACTGTCACCGCACAGTTTCAAGTTCACTTTTATAAAAGTAGCTTCAGTATAAAAGATGATAGGGGACGAGAGATAGCAGACGGACGAATGGACGGACGCAAGGCGATTTTATAAAATGTTCGTTTTACTTTTTTTTGTACACAATACACTAAGTGCTTAAAATGTTTAACATCTATAATAAATTGGAATAGTTTGTTCTTAAACAAATTCGCTTTAAGCAAATGTTGCTTAGTTGTTCCTTTGTTCTAGAAATCTAGAAGTTTTATTCGTTCCCCAAAACATAAAGCATTCGTCGAACCACAAAGGCAACTAAACAACAAAGAGTGTCATCATATAAAGTTGAGCACATACCTGTTCAACAAATAAAATGTTGTCATCTTTTAAAACGTTTTACAAAACAGCTTTAATACGTCTGTTTATATAATTTTATATTTTGTTTTGACTGCTAAGTTGGTCTAGTAAACGCGTCTAATAAGCGCGACCGACATTAGATACTCTATGATCAAATCTCGGGTTCGAACCCTAGGGTCGGACAAAAAATCAGTTATTAGTTTTTTTATGGAAAAAATCTCAGTAGCGACCTACACACACACACTACAGCCCTTCACAAGTCCACTGCTGAACATAGGCCTCCCCCAAGGAATGCCACAAAGCACGGTCCTGAGCCACATGCATCCATCGACTTCCTGCATTTCTTACTAGGTCGTCACTCTATCTGGTGGGGGGACGCCCTACATTTCGCCTACTAGTACGAGGCTGCCACTCGAGAACCTTTTTTCCCCATCGTTTGTCGGTTCTTCGCGCTATATGGCTAGCCCATTGCCACTTCAGCTTACCAATACGTTGGGCTATGTCAGTCACTCTAGTTCTAGTGCAGATATTCTCATTTCTTAGTTAATCACGCAGAGAACCCCAAGCATAGCGCTCTCCATAGTTCGCTGAGCGACCTTGAGCGTCTTCATACGGCCAGCAGTGAAGGACCACGTCTCAGATCCGTAGGTCATCACTGGCAACACGCACTGGTAGTACAGTCTCGTTTTCAGGTTTTGAGGTACACCTGACGAGAAGATGATTTATACGTAGTGGAGCCATGCTGCAGCTATGTTATAAGTACGGTTGTAGCACGAATGGATCGGCTCGACGGGGAAAGGACGACGGTCTCACAGAATACCTCTCTCTCAATGCTGCTGTGTTTCATATGGTGAGTGTAGACAACCGGACACTCACCCTATTTACTGGAAGTGAGGCATTCCATCGTAGTCCTCACGGGTGACAACGCCTCTGCATTTTGATTCGTAGTTGAAGATAGATGTAGATGTCTATGGGCCATAGCAACCACTTATCATCAGGTGGACTGTGTACTCGTGTGGTACACTTATCTTGTAAAAAAAAGATGTGGCGTAATTACCCGAACGCTGCTCATCCGTGTTGAATCTGTCGATTGTCCTCTCGGTCGAAGATGGACTTACCAACTCGGACTATTTGTCCTAGGTAAACATACTCGTCAATAACATCGAGCTTAGTGCTCCCAACAACTACGCACATAGGTGTGGCATGGACATTAAACATGTTCTTTGTTTTGTCCGATCATCTCAAGACCTATCCGTTGGGAAACACTATTGAGGTCATTGAGCATAGTGCTTAGGCCCTCCATCGATTCTGCCATAAGGACTATATCGTCGGCAAATCGAAGGTGAGTGATGTACTCGCCATTGATGTTAATACCGTATCCTTTCCAGTCCAGTAGCTTGAAAACGTCTTCCAATGCAGCGTTGAATAGTTTCGGGAATATAACGTCACCCTGTCTTACACCTCTCTGCAGTTGGATGGTTTCGTACTCCGGTTCTGTACTCGGATAGCCATCGTAGCCCTACTGTATAGATATTTCAGCACTTTGATATACCAACAGTCAACTTGGTCCCGCTGTAGGGACTGCAACACCGCTCAAATTTCGACGGAATTAAAGGCTTTCTCATAGTCCACATACGGCAGAGTAGTGTAGTTGTACCACTTCTAGACCACCTGAGTCAGACGTGGTTCAACGACGTTCGTCGACACACGATCCTAAAAAAAAAAAAAAATAAAAAAAAAAATAATGGTTTTGGCATGCTCTGATCACGAATCCGCGGTCCATTTTTGTGTAGAATGCACGGTTCCGGAGATGTGTAGATCAATTAGCTAATATCTAATTGATATCCGGTAAGGGCCTCCACCGTCATTAGCGTCCCATTGTTCCTATTTCTATTGTTCTATTGTTCATTAATCACCTTCATTGCAGCGTGTGCGTCGACTATATCAGTGCTATTGTATTATATTTCTTTGTTCCTAATTATACAACGCTAATCTGAATCATCAATAAAACACATTACATAATTTTGTTACAATTTTTATTTATAAAATACAAAATCTTATTAATTATTATCTATAAAATAGGAGCGAAACATCTCATCCACTAAAATATCGTTGTACAATGTGTTCCTTGTAAATATACTCGTAAAACTATGTATTGAACATCCTTGAAACTTATATAGCAAATACATTAAGCAATATTCGCCACAAACTGAAGTCCACTCATTCTGAATCCTATCAACATTCCAGTTCCATCTTTTACAATTCCTTTTTAAAAACTCTAGATGATATCGTACAGGTGATCGTCCATATGAATCAAAATATTGACCGACGTCATTCGTATCGATATATAAAGCTACCCAATGTGACCCTGGTTTATCATCTGTATCCAAATTACATATTATATACGTTGGTACGTGGGTATACATAGGCAGTCTATTAGCTGCATAAACATTATTTTCTAGACTGGGGTGAATCTTTTTCAGATGTTGTTGTACATCTAGTGTATCCATGATATTACTGCTATTAGTACATTATTACAGTACCAATCTACTCAATGAATAACATAGGAATGGTCAATTATAGTGATTTCTAAATATTAAATTGCATTTTTGTGTTATACAAATCGTACTTGAGTCATTGATCACCAAACAAAACACAATACGAAGAAATGTTGAGATAGACAACGGAAATGTGAGATAAACTGGTTGACGCATAAAGTAATTATCAACTCATTACGGAAATACTTTAGATTAGAATTTTTACGTACTGATGGTATATAAGACCAACAGACGCAGTCATCGAGTTAGTTTACGGTCGTTTGACTACAGTGGATCTATCAATAGTACATTTGTGTTACTTCAATACACCAAAGGCCATGGATGTAAGTGTTTATTCTATTGACTAAATTACTTTTTTTCTGTTATTTTCATGTGTGTGTATTATTTTATTTAAATATTGTGTATGTATATGATTAAGCCGTGGTAACTCAGATAGTTAGCGCTAGCTGTAAATTTCACAGTACGCGACCCGGGTTCGATCCCCGCCAGCACCAATTAAATTGTTAATCGCAATTTTAAGTGCTTATTACCACGTGCTTGGTGGTGAAGGAAAACATCGTGAGGAAACCTGCATGTCTGAGAAAATTTCGAAGGCATGTGAAGTTCGCCAACACACATTGAGGGAGCGCGGCGGACATATCCTTGCTCTAAAACCCTCTCAGAAATGAGAGGAGGCCTATGTTCAGCAGTGGACTTTAATAGGCTGTAACTTTAACTTTTTTAACTTTTATGATTAAGTGTTAACAAATTGATATTAACATGATAACTGTGTTGTTGCAGAAATCATTGAGCTTCGATGAAGATACCTATAAACAGTATTACTACTCGCCATTCTCCCCTCAAGAAGAGAGTGATAACCTCGTCATTAATAATAACACATGCGATGGTGGAAAAAGAAAATCGCAATCGATTGATCATTTTTTTGAAGCTGAATAAAAAATAAAAAAGAGGAAGCTGTTATCATCAACCGTAGCACGAGCCGCTAGAGATGGTGTATCATACATTTCTACTAATTCTGACGACGGAGACCAAGCGACGCATCTCATCAAAATTGAAATGTACGATATGAAGAAGCTATCCAAGATTCCAACTACTGATCATTGGAAACATGCTTCCACGAGAATTAAATATTACGTAAAGACTAATAAGGATAGCATCTACGACAAGACAAACGCCCTCGTATACAATATAACAAAGACAATAGCAGAAAGTGAAAAAGTTAAAAAATACTTTTTTAACAATGACAGTCATTAGCTGATCATTAGTGAATGTGATTCTGTTTACTTCAATTACAGGAAGACAAGAGCGGAAGGAAGAGATGAGTGTGGCATACGTGTACAAAACACATCATTGAATAACAAAACTACAACACTGAGTGGAGAAGAAAACGAGAAGTGTATGCAGTACTCAAGAGCTGAATATCCATTCTTCAGTTCAAAATCTAGCCGTTTGCTTAGTTTCGAAAACTGGCCTCTCGTTATGCGACAGAAACCTGAAGATCTTGCAGAAGCTGGTTTCTTTTATACTGGCCATGCAGACGGGACCAAGTGTTTCCATTGTGGTGGTGGTTTAAAAGATTGGAAAGATGATGATGATCCTTGGCAGCAGCATGTTCAGTGGTTTAGTCAGTGTGCTTATGTAAAATTTCAACTCGAACAGTGTTTTGTATTAGATTAAATAGAAGATTTATAAAGAAATAAAAAAAAATATTGCATACAATTTGTTTTATTTAATTTTATAACGTTTCACATAGTTACATACACACAAAATGCATTACACATAACACATAAAATCTAACACATAACACATATTATAACCTTAACTACTATAGTCTACAGTAACATTTCTGTTTTTATCTATCTCAATAATATTATCAAACTCAGCATAAACTATACAGTTAATTGTTTGTATTAATGAGGATTCAAATCGTACTTCTATTCTTACACTACCATGCTTTATGAGATTCCAATGAGTTGATGAGTTAGCTGATAAATCAGGAGTTAAGTCAAATGCTAATAGACAGTAACCTTTGCCATACTGTTCACAAGAGATTCCATTTCCTTCATTAAGAAAGTGAATACCAGTTCCCGAGAATAGAGTATGATATGCTGATGTAAATATGCTATTATTAAAAGATGGTTGCAAAGCTTTTGAAGGTATTTGTTGACCATCAATATATAAGCTGAAAGAATTAATACCATAGTTTTCAAAGTTAAATGGATTTTTAGTAAGGGAACCATTAAATGCAGAATTGTTCACAAATCCAATTATACATCTTTTCGGTACCTGTCCTAAAAATATATTATCAAGAGTTTTTCCTTGAACACCCAAAGGAATTGTTAAAACTTTTACTTCAGCTCGAGTAATAGGATATTTAGCAGTGGTAGAAGCTAAAACTTTTTGATGTGCGAGTAATACACTTGGATTAATTCGTGCTCGTCGAACAATAAGAGTTGCGTCCGTAATGCAAACTTTAAACTTTACATCGTTTGACCCAACAATTAAATTAAAACTCTCTCTTGATCGAACCAATTTAACACTCATTTCAACACCATTAATTAAAAATTTATCTTGGTTAAAAATGTCACCGTGAAGATGACCAATCATTTCTATTTCCTTACTTTCACTAATCAATTCCTGTCTTTTAACAAATCCTATGTTTTTACCATCTGTAGAATCCATTTTTCCTGCTGTATCCTCATACCAAAGACTACAAGTAAGATGAGATTGTTTAGCAGCAGGGGCATAGTTTAAAAGGGTTTCCATGTATGCTCGATATGCATAGGTATTATTAGGTGGTGATACAAGTTTTTGGTTTAAATAAACATCAAGTTGACTAAAAAGTGAATGCAGCCAATTATTTACAGGTGCTACTATTGTAGTAGATACCAAGTTAGTTGAATCTTGATTTAATACTTTTGCCTTTATGTGGAGTAATGTATGAGACAAATCTATGTAGTCATCGCCGGTCCCAGGAACTTGAAACTCGATAGGTTCATCATCACCAAGAGATGAAATTGGTTTATAATGAATCCACAATCCATTTTCAATGCTAGTTTGTGTAGACGGTAGTGCAAACAAATCCAATTCTGACTTAACGCACTCGCAAGAATGATTATGAAGGAAAGACATATTTAGTTTGAAAATATATCTTTGATATTTTTTGGTTTTAGACAAAGTTTTTTCGCAGCTTTCACTTTAGCAGTTAATGGTGGAATGAACGATGTCAATCGTTTTCTTTTAGTTTTATACCCAGATCCAGTCATGTTAAATTGATCAATTTTCTCATCAGCCTTTCGTTTTAAATTCGTACTAACTTGCTTTAGACGGTCTTTTATTGAGGCTTCCATAGGACGGGCTTGAACCATATCCGATAAAAGTCCTACTCCAGCGCTTAATGCCTCCTTACCAATCACTCGAGCACCACTTGAAAGTAAAGGTAAAACTGATCTGAATAACCCCCCTAAGAAGCTCCCAATACCATGACCGCGTTGATATGGTGAACCCTTATAAATTACTCCAACTCCTGATCCAGCTTGATGTGTATAATAATTTTCATATGGACATTTATGATGATCACGAAGAGAATTCATTATTATAATTTTCGGAAATGTAGTTTAATACACACGGTTCCAAACTGGAATGGTATTTTTTGTCCTGTACTCGATCTTATAACTATTTCCAACGTATCGAACTCTCTTCGCATAACAGGTAAGTAGTGAGGTTGAGAGAAAACGTGCATTTTATTTGCACCATAAATGTATTTTGTAGGATCTAATGAAATGACTCTTAATAAAGGAGTCATAACATCATCCACAATCTGAGGATCGATAATGTCGCAATATAGAAATAGTTGAGATGGTAACCCTAAGTGTAAATTAGCAGGACACTTTCCAAAATTTCTCTCTAGGAGATTTTTATTTGGTTCATAACCTAGCTGTAAACTTAATTTGGGTGATAATGTTACGGATGTTATATTTTTATCCAATACCGAAATAGACACAAATTTTGTTATTTCATCATAGCGAAATTTCAAGTTCTCTCCGATACCATTTAACACTCTTAAAATATGCTCAACGTTATCATAGTTGGTAGCTGGAATATGTTTTTTGTAGTACACTGTGGATGGTTTATCTTCATTAGGCATTAACATAGATTTTCTAATGTATATAACATTTTCATGATCTTGAACAGTAAACATGGTACATGGATATTGAAACTCGACAACTCCAACCGACCATTCACCTTCTAATTTTATAGCTTTTGGTAATTTCGTTGAAAAATTTGTGGTCTTGTTATCAGGAAAGTATTCCATTGAACTATTGCTGAGCAAAGTTAAATAGAAACTTTCTTTATTCATATTTCTTTTAAACTAGAAGCTAAAATCCAACTGTTAAATTTATCTGGATAACCTTTCCACTTCACTAATACTTCTTTTCTGTTACCTGAATAACGAGTGTCAATTATTTTATCTATTTTATGTTGTGAGGTGGGGTTGTAAGTGATTTTCTGTAATTCTCTTTCATAAAAAGTACCAATTATTGGTTCATTTTGTAAATCTGTTATTGTATAAACAACCCATGGAGATCTATCAATTATTGAAGATATAATAAATATTTCATCACTCCAATTTGATTCATATCCTTTTTGGAATACATGTTTATATTTAGTTATTCGAACATAATCACCCACATTGAAATTTGGTTTAGGATTTTCTAAAGAAAGTTTTTTTGACCGTCTATCATAAAGATTAGTCCAAACTGTCATAATATTGTTGGAATTTATATCACATGGGCACATCTTAATACTAGAGTGAAAGCTGTGATTATAAGAGCATATTAAATCTTGTAAAACATCTATATATCTATAAGTATTATTATGAGTGAAATAACGCCACATTTTCATTTTTAGTGTTCTTTGAAATCGTTCAACAATACTAGCCTTAATGTCAGGATTGTTAGTGGTATAGTAATTAATCTTTTTGGATTTAAAGTATTTTTGTACATCTTTTGAAACAAATTCTGTACCTTTATCAGATTGTATGTGAGTAGGTGTTAAATTACTTTCAGTAAATATACTTTCAAAACATTCTTTAGTTGTTTCTGAGTTTTTCTTTTTCATTGGTCTTGCAAAAGCATATTTACTAAATACATCAATAATACAAAGTATATACTTGAAACCATCATTATATTGAGAATAAGTTCGCATATCACTTAAATCAGCTTGCCACAGTTCATTAATATTTGATAGAATGTACCTATTACGCGGGAATTTTTTTCGAATGGGTTTATGTAATGTGTATGTTTCTTGTGATTTTAACCATTCCTTTACTTGCTTTTTATTCATTTTACCCTTCATGGCTTTTGATAATTTATCAATACTACCAAAACCAGCGGGATTAGATGGATCATAATAAATCCTGTTAATTTCTTCTAGTACGGAGTCCATTTTTCCCACTCAAGTCCTTTACGTATTTTAGTTGTAGACTTTTTATCTCTACTGCCCGGTGTAGAAAACTCTTGAACTTCAATCTCAGAGGGTTTGTTCAGATCTTTTGCTTGAAGTTGGTTAATAAACTCACATCTCCTTGGATTTCCAATATAAGTAAGTGGTACTTTAATATCTTTTAATGCTTCAGCAAATCTAACCCACCCTACCGGATCACTTCTTTTTAGGGGTCTTAGTGAATCATTTATTAAATCAACAATATTACTTCCAGGAATTTTTTCACTATCAATTATGACTGTACCTTCATTATCCCAATGTATTTTACTTTTACTTGTTTCAACTAAGTTTAATAATAACTGCCCTTTTTATGATAAGTTTTTGGTATTAAACTGAGTATTTGAGCTGGTGTGTAAAGTGGATTTTCATCATTTTCTTTACTTTTAATGGATCGATTCTCCTCCAGCAAAGATTCAATATCAACTGAAGTTTTTAGATCTCTATCTTTATTTTTAAAACCAATTTTTGACTCATTTGAATCTTCATTAGATGTATCAGAATAAATTGGTAATTTGAGTGGTTGACGATCCTCTTCGGTAAAATGAAGGTATCTTTGCAGTGTTTGTAAATATAATATCCATTTCTTTCGGTCTTCCGTCTTACTATTCATAATATTTTGCATTTCAATATCTAATCGAGATAAATTACTATTAACCTTATTTTCTTGTTTTAATTTTTCAATCAATCCAGGTTCGATAAGTATCATTTTCTTTGCATTTTCCATGTTAACTGGCTAGTCCACTCACTAATCCACTCAATATTGCACCTAATATTGTTGGTAAGAAAGCCCCTCCTTTTTGTATAATTATATTTTTTCTTAGTTTATGTTTACACTTACGTACTAGTTTCGGAGTATGTTTTTATGTTTATTCAATTTTTGTTTATCCTGATCTTTAAGAGGTACTTTTCCTTGTAAAACGTTATGAATACACTCACAAATACAGTTAATTTCTTCTTCATCACACGTTTTAAGTAATGCTCTTTGATATTTTGGTTTAAGCGTATGCAAAGCGGTTAGCAAATGTTTATACGTTGTGAGTCGACGATGCATCATTTAGCAATGATTTCAATTGTTTGATTCTTGGTGTATTTAAACTCTTTTGTGGGGACGTAGACTGTACAGAAACCATTAAATGGAAAGACATTTGTCTTGATACGACAAAAATCATTGGTATTCTGTTTTAAATCTACCATTAAATATCCATGCGCCTCTAGAGTTGCATCCCTGTAGGCATTTTCAATGAATTTTGGGTTATCTGGTGATACTTGTCTTGCTAAATATCTTATTTGAGTTTTATCTCGAGGGTTTTTAAAATATATTATATAACTTGAGTTTAAAGATATGTCTCTTTGTCCTTTACCCTGATCAAATAAATTTTGTGTTAGATAAAATACACTAAGATTCCTGTGATGACTACCTTTTGTAAATATATCCACAGTTATTCCATCGGACTCTCTCATTAGATCATCAATAATAACAAGATGTGGGTTTTCACCATCAAACATATTAAGATTTGGAATTCCTTGATGATAGTTAACATTTGGTAAATTATATAATGGTTGCATTTCATCAAAGCACCATGTGATCTGATTAAAATCACAATTACATATTTCTGCAACTGATTTTATGAAATTTGTTACAAAATTTGACTTCCCACACCCACTTGGTCCTGCCACAATAGCAGTGAACGGATGGATAAAGTGAAACATAACACACGTCTAAAGTTCAAAGGGGTGAAATAAAAAATGAAAGTGTTGGTGTAAACAATTAATATATATTCCAAAAATTATATAAAACAGAATTATCTGTATACTATTTCTAACACAATTAGTACATCATAATTTTACAATTAACTCAACCTCAAATAAATAGAAACAACAATTAACTTAAATTATTTACAATAAAACAATGATTAAATATGTAATAAACTACGTCATATTATAGTATTATCATAATTTTACAATCAATATAAATTTTTCTTAAACGCAGACATAAAAGTAAAAACTATCAACACTTAACGCAGTTTATAATGACCCCAAGCTAATGTTTCAATATTATTATCTAAAATATGTCTCTTTGTGTCATTATATGATAAACCTATCTTATTTAATTTTTGTGTGAAAATTGTGTGTTTAATTGATTTAAATCTAAGCATACTATAATATTGCACTTTTTTATTAAATAGAGAAGACTTATAACTATTCATTGTCATCTTTTTAGTGATACATTTATTTACCCCTTTTGCCTTGGCTATAGTCTTATTCTCTAAGTTAAAAGCGTACATTTTGGATCGTAAACCCACAAATTCTTTCATGATTTTACCATTATTTTCATCTTTAAAAAAACCTAATTTCTTTTTATTTAATTTTGGATATTCAAAAATATTATTTGTATCATAATCTGAGGTATCAAAGTATGATGAAAGGTCAGGTTTTATATCAGTGTAAAAATCATTTGTAAATATATGATATATTAAACTATCCGTATCTGTATACAATAATTTGATTTTACTAAACTTTTTAATCATATAGTTATAATGAAAATCATACATTAATGTTTTTGAAATATCTAAAATGCAAAACCCTAAATAAATTGGTTTGTTATATATTAACTTCGTTTTTCGCAA